TTTGTATAAGTGATCACATTCCCTCTGTTCTCAGCTGCATAAGAGCTGGGGGAGGAGAAACAGTAGGATACTGATCTTCCCAGTGAAAGGCTGTGTGGGGGTTGGGTTGTTAGGAAAAGTCTAATCATTGGAGGAGAGAAGGCTGAGTTCCCATCATAGCTAGAGAACTGACCAAGGTGTGTTCTTCTGCTTAGTGTGGTCAATTTGTAATAGGAACACAGAGGGACTGGCAGGGACACCAGGAATTTCCCAGAAAGGAAGCAATACAAAGAGAACAGGTTACTTTTTCATACAAGTACATGGTACAGCAGGCACATATCACGAATATGATATGTTGGGTTTAGATACTCTTTAAGAGCAGTAAAAAAGAAAAACAGGGCTGTGCTGTGTGTCAGAGCTGTGCAAATATGATAAATAGCTGGGCATAAATACAAATACTTTAGTAGTTAAATCTCAGCCACAGGATGGGGGAAAAAAAGCCTTGGTAGTGGGGCCCCTGCAAGGGTTAAATGCATGTTAACTCTTCTGGGTAGAGGAAGAGGCTGTATTATTTATATTACACTTTGGCAGATTCCAAGGCTCCTTACTTCTCTTTGACACTCTCAGCTTTGTGTGGTCCCGCTAAGACCATCACATACAGTGCAGAGCTATTAGTCTAGCTTTGTATGTGAGGAGGCAAGTGTGTGACCACAGGCTGGAGCACCGGAGAGAGGAGGTTGTGGGGATCAGTTGCACAGATGGAGGGAGCCTGCCAAAGTGAGGAATAAGGTATGTATTACACCTTATTCCTCATCCCCTAGGCATCATGAGCATTTAACCCTTGTGAGGAAGGGGGCACGGCCTACTGCAAAGTTATTTTTTACTTGTACCTGAAGTTGGGCTTTAAAAAAGCTCTGTATATGCCTGGAGTTCAACCATAAACACTGCATGGAACAGGAGCCTTTGTCTCACTAACCTAGATTTTTAGAACGTAAAATAAATAACACTGCTAATAAAAATTGGTAAATGAAAATTTGAGTTAAAGCATAATCATTTGCTGGCTTACTCAGCAGAAAAATATACACTTTCATGCTTGAGGAGGAACACCTAGGTGTTTTAAAAGCTTGATTTTTTTAGCTGTTGCATTAGTCAATTAACTGTATCATTTGACTTTTTGGCTTTATTCATTGACTTTCTTTGTATGATACTGTGCAGCAAGGCAAACAAAGAAATATGTGCAGTAAATATTGTTCCACTTAAAACACTGAAATTGATATTAGTAGCCTTGTCCTGCTTTCTTCCCAAACCCCACTAGTCGTGTGTATTGTTATCAGAAGTATTTTCCTCGTTTTTTGTTTTATGCATCCAGCTTCAATGCAGCATCTTCTACAAAGGCAAAGCAGCGTCTGTCCTGTCATTACTGGCAGCTTAGGTTTCACTTCTGTGATTTCAAAGCTTTAAATATTCAACATATTCATTTATTAGGTGGAGGGTGAATAGTATTACCATAATTTCTCATTTGTTGTCATATACTCGGTTGCTAATGCTGGGTATCGGGGACAGCCAAGCCTTGTATCAGTTTTAAATTAAACAAATTGACTATCAACATTAATTTGCATTTACAAAGATACATTACTGTTATCACAGCTTGAAGCCCACTTTCCAAAATCTAGAGTGGAATAAGGTGGAGGAAGAAATCAGCATTCAATTTATTGCAGAAAATGTTTAATTTTCGCTTTTTTTTTTTGCTTGTAACTTGCTTCATGAATTGTAAAACAGAAGGTATCAAAATTATGTAGATGAAGCTTAATATTATTAATTTTATTATGATTTTTCACAAGAGCTGAAGTTAAAATTGAAAATGTTATATGTGAAGTGTGAGGATACAATCGGATTAGTATTAGTCATATGAGTCATAATGGGAATCTTCTTTATTTATTGCTGAGCAGTAATAAATTAGTGGCAATCGAACTGTTCACTACACAGTTTGGGTAGTTTTATAAAGTACCCCTGGGTACATAGCATGCTGGTCTAAGGGCAATGAGCCACTTTATATTTAAGTACACTCAACCATGGGGGTAATTGCATGGCACCTCTATAAAGTTTGCAGACTGGTTAGTACTTTGGTGTTCCATTCCATTTTGGTTTCTTTGGCTATTTTGTTCCTTTGACTGTGACGTTTGAGTTTGCTGATTTGAGATGCTAGTGTGCTCGTAGACCATCACTCTGAAGCTGGCTATGCACTAGTAGAACTAGTAGAAACTAGGAGAAATGCTTAATTTTAAAAACATTCGTTCAATTTGGGGGGATTAAATTGGCATTCATTTTCCACCATATTGATGAGAAAACCTAAAGGTGCAGGATGGAAATTTTTTTCTTGAACAAACACATTTCTAACAGTGTATGTGGTTTTTGTTTGGAAAATTACACTCATTCTAAATTGAATGTTAAAAGCAAACAAAATAGTGAAATACTTTCAAACGACATTTATTAAATCTTTGAATACTAAGAAATTTCTGTTTCAACCGTTTGTATTGAGAATTTTTTTTCTTTACAAAAAGAGAGAACAAGACATAAATACTGTCCAGTCACAAAGACACTACGGTACATACAAAAAAAGTAATGGAGGACATATGGATATGGCTGGGTAGTACTGAGAATTTTCATATGAATGTTCATTTGAGAATCTACTAGGGTATGGCCAGCTTTAAGAGCAAGTTTTTTCTGTGGTAACAACTTTTTACATTTTTGATTCATAAATAGCAGTGGTACAAGGAATGGCACAGAATTACCAGCTCACATTAGACTCAGCGTGTCCACTACCACATGCACTGACCAAGAAAGGAGTATCTCAAATGCACCTGGGGGAGCCTGGCTTGCATTCCCATACCCTCTCAAGATTGGGATACCCAATCTTGCTGTTATGTTCTGGATCAGATTTGAGTTATCACCATACACAAGAAGATTGGGCTCTGTCTTTAGAAACTGCTGCTCTCAACTATAAGTTCAAATATTCAAGGTATTCTTTTTTTTTTTTAATGGAGGATAACTCCAAAAGTCAGTATGTAAACAGGCTGTTGCTATGCAGCCCCAGGACAACTAGTCTCTATTCTCATAAAGAATTTTCACACTCCATTTTTAAGTCCCATAATTTTAAGCATTTTGCATATTTTGACCTATAAAATTTAGACTGAAAAAATAGATTCACTTGCCTTAAAAAATATGTTGTATACAGGTATCCTGTGATACAAGCTTTTTATTCTTTCTCTATAAGCTATTGATTCCTTTGCGTTTGATGGTTTTGTTTTGTTTTATTTGTGTTCTCCAGTTTTTTCCACTGATTCTTTTATGCCTTCAAAAGCCACTTCAAAAATTAGTTTGCCGGTTTAAACACATGGGAAAATGATAGTGTGATCCTTGTTAGAAAACCACAGAAACAGCATCTTACTTCTTTACATTCTGGGCCATAGGGGCACTATAGCAAACTCATTATAAGATCTATTAGATTTTCTTCAAATGTACTTTTTCAAAACAATAACTAATTGATTTCTGGGCTTTCTAATAAACGCTCCCTTGTCTTTCAATACAGCGTCTGTGAGGGCCAAGAAATCTTAACTCTGCCTTAAACACTCTTTCTTCTGTCATTGTGCATGTGAAGAAATCTCCAACCCACTTTCTAGGTCTTGCTAAAGACCAGCAGGGTGTGTGTCCATGTGCACACAGCCCTTATAATGATAGGCTTAGGCACAGCTCAGGGTTCCCATCAGGAGACAGTTTTTTGCTCCATCCAGGATACTGGCATTTTCCAATTGGGGAGGTAATCCACTCAAGAGACTGCACTCCAAGTTGGAGAGACTCCTTACAGGACTGGGAGAGTCCAGACAGCTGAGCGAGTGTGGAGGACTGGGAGAGCTGATACAACTAGGCGAGTCCAGGGGACAGATGGAGTCTGTGGGTCTCGGTGGAGTGAGAGAGCAAAGGGTGCCAGAAGATACCATATTGAGAGGACAGGGAGTGGGCCTGTGCATCTGGATGCAGCAACAAAGAACCATGAGAGCCCAGAGGGCAGGGAGGGCTGAATCTGAAGGATCCTGATGAGCAGCAGAGCTGCTGAAGAAAAAGGCAGGTGGCTTGGCATTTTAGTTACCTGTTTTGATAGTGAAAATCCCCTGCGTGGTCAACTATTTTTGCGAACTTTACCTTCATTTTGTTTAAGAGTGAATCAGCAATCCCTTAAAGTGGAGCTCCAGTCTCAAGTGAAAAAATTAACAGTCAGCAGCTACAAAAAAACTGTTGCTGCTGACTTTAAAAACAGCCACTCATCTGTCCCTCGATCTGACGGTGTCCTCACCACAGCCAGGCTCACCGGCCATCCTCTATCACCAGTGCAGTCATCTTAAGTTTGGGCACCTGACTGTGACAGCTTACGGCTTCACAGCCGGATGCCCACTGCGCAATGCACGAGCAGTCCTGCACTCTGTGATTGGTCCACCAGTCTTCTGGGACCTTTCACATGTCCCAGACATTTCTTGGGGGTAAGGGGGGGGGGGGAACTTACGCTTCCAATTGCCTAGGGGGTCGGAGCGAAAGTGGGAGCGGGTACCTGTCAAAATCGTGTAATCCCCCCACACACACTCCCCAATGGTGCCAATCCTGAACGGGGAGCGGTGGGCGAGTTCTTAAAGCGGAACTTCCCCTTTTGGGTGGAGCTCCACTTTAAGTATAGTTTATACTTTTACCTAAAACCCAAGCTGACTTCCCACTGTACCAGGTTTTACTGGATAATAATAGGGGAGCTCCAACTGCCTTAATTGTTATCCACATAGCAGAGAGTAGAGTGCAGTAATCCTTACCAACAAGTCAGATTTCACCTGTCATTGATTTGATTGCTGCAAACAAAAGCCTTGTTATTGGAGAATATACACTATTGCCAAAAGTATTGGGACACCCCTCCAAATCATTGGATTCAGGTGTTCCAATCACCTCCATGGCCACAGGTGTATAAAATCAAGCACCTAGGCATGCAAACTGCTTCTACTAACATTTGTGAAAGAATGAGTCGCTCAGTGAATTCAAGCGGGTACTGTGGTAAGCTGCCACTTGTGCAATAAGTCCATCTGTGAAATTTCTTTGCTACTAAATATTCCACGGTCAGCTGTTAGTGGTATTATAATAAAGTGGGAGCAACTGGGAACAACAGCAACTCAGTCACAAAGTGGTAGGCCACGTAAAATGACAGAGTGGGGTCAGTGCATGCTGAAGCGCACAGTGCGCAGAAGTCGCCAACTGTCTGCAGAGTCAATAGCTGAAGACCTGCACATTTCGTGTGGCCTTCAGATTAGCCCAACAACAGTGCATAGAGAGCTTCATGGAATGGGTTTCCATTGCCGAGCAGCTGCATCCAAGCCTTACATCACCAAGTGCAATGCAAAACCGTCGGATGCAGTGGTGTAAAGCACGCCGCCACTGGACTCTAGAGCAGTGGAGACGTGTTCTCTGGAGTGACGAATCATGCTTCTCTGTCTGGCAATCTGATGGATGTGTCTGGACTTGGCGATTGTTAGGAGAACGGTACTTGCCTGACTGCATTGTGCCAAGTGTAAAGTTTGGTGGAGGGGGGATTATGATGTGGGGTTGTTAAATATAAAATCTGATTGTGAAAGTTGTTCTTCTAGTCAAAGGAAACCTGCAATGAAATAAATACATAAGCTACCACTAATGCCCTACTGCTAACCGTGCTAGTTGACTGGCTATCTAGCTAATGTTCTGGCTTCAAATTCAACTGAGCTGTCAATTTAAATCAGCTAAATGCATTTCAGGTGCATCGAAACAAAAAGTGTTCAAAATGTTATAGTTCATTTTCTCTGGAAAGTCCCCAAAGCCTGAGTATAAAAACCTGTCTGCTGCCAGCATGCTGCATAGTGGGGCCTTTGCTCTCTGTGGGGAAGCAGTAGTCTCTCTGCAGAGGTTTGACATGCTCCCTGCTCAGTCAGTTCTCCAAGCAACATGGAACGTGAGCAATGCTAAGTGCAGACTTATAGGCCTGATTCAGCAGTGATTCAGACCACTATAGAGGGATGACTTGTTCTACAGTGAATATATATATATATATATATATATATAAATATATATATACATAGACACACACACCATATTGCTGAAAGTATTGGGACACCCCTCTGCAAAGCGTTGGATGCAGCGGTGTAAAGCACACTGCCACTGGACTCTAGAGCAGTGGAGACGTGTTCTCTGGAGTGACGAATCACGCTTCTCTGTCTGGCAATCTGATGGATGTATCTGGACTTGGCGATTGTTAGGAGAACTGTACTTGCCTGACTGCATTGTGCCACGTGTAAAGTTTGGTGGAGGGGGGATTATGGTGTGGGGTTGTTTTTCAGGGGTTGGGCTTGGCCCCTTAGTTCCAGTAAGGGGAACTCTTAAGGTGTCAGCATACCAAGACATTTTGGACAATTTCATGCTCCCAACTTTGTGGGAACAGTTTGGGGATGGCCCCTTCCTGTTCCAACATGACTGCGCACCATTGCATAAAGCAAGGTCCATAAAGACATGGATGAGTGAGTTTGGGGTGGAGGAACTTGACTGGCCTGTACAGAGTCCTGACCTCAACTCAGTAGGACACCTGTGGGAAGAATTAAGAGTGGAGACTGCAAGCCAGGCCTTCTTGTCCGACATCAGTGCCTGACCTCACAAATGCTTTCTGGCAGAATGGTCAAATATTCCCATAGACACACTCCTAAACCTTGTGGACAGCCTTCCCAGAAGAGTTGAAGCTGTTATAGCTGCAAAAAGAGGGCCAGCTCAATATTAAACCCTACGGACTAAGACTGGGATGCCATTAAAGTTCATGTGCGAGTAAAGGCAATAGTGTACTTTGTACTACTATTGCACTTTGCACTGCTCTTATGAGTAGAACTGTATGAGCTAAAGCTTGTGAACTGTTACTGGATTTGTTGGGCAATTTCCTCATGTGGTTAAAAAAAAAAACTACTACCCAAAATTGCTTATGCAATTTTGTAGGAGTGTGATAAGGAGACCTTTTAAATAGAAGTCCGGGTGCTTCCAACTGCAGTAGCATTCTACCACTGAAAAGTTTTCCCAGCAGTTTCCATTGCTGTGAGTCTGTCAGATATGTGTTTTTAGATTCTCCTGCAGCAGCGAGCATTAGCGTTCATTAGGGAACTTTTATAGAGGCCGGAATTCATAGCAGGGTGCCACAGCTAAATATAGCTATTTAGAGAAAGATGACCTAATCACTGACTACCCCAAAGAGAATACTTAGTTCATGTAATGTAATGCTGATTATTCATAAGTAGAGTTTCCAGGGTAGCATAGCAAAATGGAAGAAGAAGAAAAGTTTAAAGGTAATGTGCAGTCTTTATGGTGATTTTTAGATATACAGGTACATGTAAAATCTATCAGATTGAGGTAAATAATCTTATAGTGTTATTGTTATGAAAACCATTTTTTCTGTGTATGTAGTTAGTAATTACATACAGTATGAGAAGTATGTAAGTATGGGATTAGCAATATTTTCCTGGCATATGCATCTGCTCCCTGCTGTGCTACACAGTAGCTCTTCTTTACTGCTCTCTCACATAGCTGACCACATAAAACAATCTACTCCCTATAAGAGATGAGCTTGATTTGTGTTTGATCTGAACCCAGAAGGAAGCTGTCAGCTCCGGACCAATCAGCTGCAGATGAGGGATTCCCTGCCCCACAGCTGTATGTACACAAAGAGAAAGGGTTGCGTGTAGCAAAGTATTCCCTCCACTTTGTGAACGTGCTGCTGGGGAAAGGGGAATCCCCTGTCTGTAGCTGATTGGACCGGCACTGACAGCTTCCTTCTGGATTAGAACTGGACCTAAGCTCATTTTTACTAACTATATGGCTATGTAATGTTATTTAAAGGGTTAAACTTTTTAGCAGTGGGTGAAAAGAGGAGAGGACTCAGAGAGAAAAAAAGAAAAATCTTTTATCAAAAGGAAAAGAATTCAATCCCAAGCTCGACATCGATGACCTTTAAGCTTGTTTTGCACCTCTCAGTAATCCTGGCATTGCTCCTATTATAACTTACAGGTAACATGCATTCTTAACCAATCACAATCAATAAATAAGCATTTTGTGTAGTGTATACTGCATGCTGAGTGCATGAAGATGCATTTTCTACTTTTTGCTTCCTTAACTGGTGAATCATTGTGGACCTCATCACCATTCCCTATTCATTCCAGACAATGACAAAATATTACAAGATGTTTTCTTGGGAAGTATTAACTGTTTCATTTCAATGACAGGATAATATTGTATCTTAACAGAGAGGCTGAATGGTCTTAGTGAAATACAGATCTCCCTCTAGTGGCTAATTGACAAATCTCTAATGTTACTACATTAACAGATCAAATGAAAAAACAAGTAGTTTTTGTTAGTTTTTATTGCCATCCTAGTGCCCATCACTTCCTTTTTGTCAGGAAACCAGTGCTGGAATGCTGTTGCAACTGGTATAAATAAGATGAACTTCGTAGTATATGAAATATAAGCCTGTTTATTGGTAATTCATTAAGAGTGCAACAAATAATGAGAAAACAAATACCAACAAGGACACAGGAACACAATAACAACTCTTGGTAAGACTGGGGACTAACAAGACAATGGGGGAGATTTACTAAAACAGGATCTGGTACAGCTGTGCAAGATAGCTACTCATTTTCTAACTTCAGCTTGTTCAAGTAAACTTTGACAAGAAAACATGGAAGCTGATTGGTTCCTATACAGAGCTGCACCAGATTTTGCACCATGCAGTTTTAGTAAATAACCCCCAATGTAACAGACAGGATACAAAGCAATGTAACAGATCAGGGCAGAGAACAAATAATTGGCTGAATGGTGCAGCCAGGCTCACGTGATGCTTGATGATAAAAATTGATGATTGAAGGAAAAACACCCATTTATGACTACCCAAATAACAGGCAGACAATTGCACAGTGTCACCAGCAGGTGAAATGGGGAATGGCAGGTTTCTGATACTGTCTCTCTATCATTGCAACAGAAAATAAGGAGATATCTCCCCAACAGAGGCAGAAAAACTATTTTGTATTAAGGGTACTTCTTTATTATTTGCTTAATATGTTTTCAGAAAGCAAAAGGAAAGATTTCCCTTTACACCCTGTGTGCTAGGTTTTCATATGGTGTCTTCATTCAGAAAAGTGAGAAGAAATTTCACTATAAATGGGTATATGTACTTTATTAAACACCTTACAAAGTCTTTAACTTTTCCTCACTGGTGCTGCAAAAATAATGCAAAATGTGTCCTCTCTGAAAGTAAGCTATAATTTCTTTTAAATAAGTATTCCTAGCCCATAACTCTCAGCTTAAAGTGAAGCTCCACCCAAAGGGGAAGCTCCACTTGTTTTCACCCTCCACTGCTACATTTGCCACTTTTTTTGGGGGGAGTGGGTACCTGGATTTTGGTTTGGCCCCCACCCCCCCCCCCCCCCCACTCCACAGTCTTCTGGGACACTTCACAGGTCCCAGAAGACTACAGGACTGATCACAAGGTGCAGAGCTTATAAGGGGCTGGGAACCCGGAGGCTAGTGAAGAACACAGTTGACGATGGCTCTAGACCCTGTACAGATAAGGGTCCTTATATTAAAAGTCAGTAGCTACAGTATTTTATTTTTTGGGGGGCCTTGAGCTCCTCTGTAAAGTGTATTTCCACTTTTGCAGCCAGTTTGGGATAACACCTACTTTCTACTTGGTATGTGTTCTTATTCACATAACACAGCTGCTGCTTACAATTTACTTGCTTTTTTTTCTGAAAACTCCAAAACATTTTCTTCTACTATGCAGAGGGGTCTGGGGAATAAATGTTTACTAGATATTACCCTGTTTGTACTGTGCTGGCAGATCTCTTTACCACTTGTAAGCAGAATTTCAAACACTGCCTGTCCTAAAGGGTTAAAGAAGCTGGCTTTTTTTTTTGTATGGTATTGAGACGCAACGTTTTGTCAGTGGGAAAGGACTGAGCTTTCTTTCTTTTTTAATTTCTTTAGAGTAGGTTGTAGTTTGCCAAAGGCCTGCTCCAAACAAACACCCAGAAAAGGTAAAAAATATTTAAAACATTGTTTTTAGGTATACTGTGGAAATGGGAACAGATAAAAACTATAAATAGTGTTTTTTTATATCAAATTTGACTGCAAATTGGAAATACAATTTAAACCTCCATTCATACAGATGAGCTGTAAGTAATGTCATCTACACACTATATAATGGACCTAAAGTCTGGTTGTGCTGCAGTTTCATAACCTCATGGCAATGGCTATGATAACAGAAACAGCTTCATATGACAGGTATCATATGTCCTTTTATCGCTGCGTACACAGTTGATCAAATCTTTACACAAACCTGCAGCAGGTTTTTTTTATGGCTTTCAGGTTAAAGACACATGCTAAACTACAG